GGTCATCCCCACATACTGTCCTAAGTGGCAACTATGGACACCCCCCCCGTTTTAGTTATTAATACATTATATTGTCATTTCAAGGGGAAAACATGGAGGCTGGGGACGGAATAGGGTGAGGGATAATCTTCCTGGTTATAAAACAGATACACTTCACTCTGTCCCCTTGCTTTTTCTGAGTTCCATTTATGACCACACTTGCTGCCTAATGTTTCATAAACAGTGCCAAGGAGAGTCGTGTTCTGGTTCCAGTTTGGTCAATGACTTTGTGATTCTGCGACTTTGAGACCATCGCTTAATCCCTCTCTGACAGCTGCCTCTCCCACACACAGTTTATACCTGCCAATGCCTGTAATCAAGTGTGAAAAGCAGTTATTGTCATGAGAACTGAAGTGACAGCGGCTATCAACACATGGCACTGTACTGTAAGACAAAATGTCCACGACTCCGGAAGATAACGACTTGGGGTGCACGCATGGGGAATTCTGAGTCACGTTACACTAAACAGGTTGATCAGAGGAAGAATGTGAGAAAAAATTGACTAACAGTACTTACCATTAAAGCAATTACAGATGTCTTCATGAGTTACATAGGAAAATGTACTGTCACAGAGTTAAGGAACATTTATATCAAGGTTGAGACGTTGAAATTAAGATAATAAATCTGAAGGCCAAAATAAACAAAATGACCAAATGCATGAAGGGACCGTCACACATGGTCAGATAAAAAAGAACCAAGTCTTTTAGTCTGAAAAGGCAAAGGCAATCAAAGGTCCGTAAGAGAAGTGTCCATCCTTTGAGAAGAAGCCACTTTTGATTTCTGTGATGTCTGAGGACGCTTGGGAGAGATGGAAGAAATATTCCTCGTGGAAACGGGCTTCTGGGGGCAGGACACCGACGGGGAAGAGCATGCTACGGGCAGGAGTGAAGGGCGCCTGCGTAAGCCTCCGCACCGAAAGTCTCCTTGGGTCACGGTTTAGGGGACTGGGGGCGGCCAGAATCTCGGAAAGCAGGGCAGCAAAGTGCAAGACCAACTAGTTCAATGGTTTTTGAATCTTGGGGCTCCACAGGGCACAGCTGAAAGCCCCCCATTATTGTCAAACTGTTAAGGAGTTCTGATCCACAGAAAAGAAGTAACAGGTGAGATCAGGGACTTGTTCACCAAACACAAGACAACGCGAATAATAATTTGTATATATTAGTCCAAAGTTCATGAGAGGTGGTACGAGGTCAACGTAGTTAAAACGTTCCTTACAAGTACAGGTAAGTTTACAAATCAAGAGAATCGCAGACACACACAGTGACTGTGAGAAACACACGGAGGACAGCACTAACGTTTTCCCTCCAATACAGGAGGACAGACAGACCAGCCTCGGAACCACCCCCCCCCACCAAGGAAGTAGTCTTTGGGTTCATATTAGGTAGAACGTATCCCGGACCGATCGCAGGCCCGTGATGTTTCATTTTCAAACCAAAAGTAATTTTTCAAAACTTGAATTTCTACCACTTTGGAACCCCGAATGACTGAAGTACAGAACAAAGATGTAAGTATGACTATGCACTTAACGTTGACTTCCAAATTCACACGCCCCTAAGCACACCTTTGCTAGCATATTACACATCCTATCCATGGGTAGACCGAAACTAGATGAGTTTGTTTTTCTCAATGCAACACAGAAACAGTGCTGACAGATGTACCAAATAACTTAAAAAGGTAAAAATGTTTAAATATTAGTATAAATTATGAGAAGAATGTTATAAAACTAATGTTATATTCACCTGCAAAACTGAACTCTCTAAAAATACTAGGATAAAGTAACTGATCTTCAGACTGAAAGCATGTATTATATAAATACATATTCCACGGCTATATATGTATGTACAAGTGACTTAAAAGGATATCTGTTATTAATGGAGTCGTCCATCACGTTTTTGATGCTCTGCTGTAGCCACAACTTCTGCTGATCAAGTTCTCTTTCCTTCAGTTCTAGATCTTCAATTTCAGCTTTAAGGTATCTTAGTCTATCTATGACTTCTTTAGTATTACAGCCAGCACCTACACCTCTTAAAAACATATGAGAATTAACGTCCTCAGTATCAGATCCAGGTTAGCATCACTTAATTTTTGCAGTAATAAAACTCACTGAATTAGTAACATATTCAAGACAGAAATCTTTACCCTTTTCTAAACATCAAGCATTAAAACCCTTGGAAAATTGAAAACCCCGTACCTCTGAACATGTTTCCTTAGACAATTTATTGGCAAGAACAAACAAAAATTCCCAGTATGTTCTATCTGGAAGGTCAGGCTGGTGACTGAGGCACCAAAAGCATGTCAAAGCCGAAGAGTCACACCTGGAAGTCTCCCTATGTAGCCTGAGATGCTAGTAAAACAGATTACAAACTTTTACTATTTTGGTGGGGTTTGGGGCTAAAACAAACCAAAGCCAAAGGGGACACATTTTTGTGGAACAGGAAGTGTTTGTCACATTCATACAACAGTTAACAAATGACATGCTTTTCAACTAACTGTTGTTTATAAAGTACATATTCCTACATGTAAGATACAGTTCCTGTTTTCAAGTAGTTTGTTTTAGTTGGACAGAGAAACACTTAGGCAGAGAGGGATTAATAATACAAAGCAGTACGCGGTGTGTACCAAGGAAGCAGCCTGACGGAGAAAATATTTGAATACTAAGAATGTAAATTGAATAGCAGAGAGGGCAAGGGGACATCCCAACACAGGAGCGACACAGAAGCCCAGGGAGGTGTGCCCAGGGACATGGGGGGGGGGCCTGGTGTGACTAGAGGCTGACACAGAGGACTCAGAGAGATAAATGGTGAGGAGATCAGATTTTACAGGGCACTGAGAAGAAAAATAAAGGTTGTAGCACAGAGTACTGGTTTGTGACTTACTTCCATTGTATACTGTTTTTTGACTTTTTTTCAATTAGGTCAATTCCTTCCAAGACATTGGTGATATCATAAATTCTTCTTTTTTGCCTCACAGCCAAAGTATCTGCAGCCTGTTTTAGGGAGAAAAAAAAGAAGAAGAACAAAGAACAATGAAATCAATTACAAGTCCTATTTTAAAGCCAAAAAGGGATGGTTATTAAGGTCACAGCATGAGAGCTCAATCCTAAATTTGACCCAGTCAGTTGCTTGGGAACAATAGCTGGGTATGTGCAGAACAACTCTCAAACACTGAAAATACCAAAGAAATGATTCCACTTAAAAGCCAGCAGATGTTGGAATGGAAGAAAAACGAAGAGGTCATGACACAAAGCCCACAAAAATAAAGGAACACAGTAAGAATACTTCACGTCACCTTCTGGGCTAATCCTGAAGACGCGCTGCTAATTGCCCGCCCCGTCACCTCCGATCTTATTTCTCTGTTCATAAACAGTCTTGTCTAAAGACAGCCCTCAATTATTTTAGAAACTCTGAAAAATTTTATCGCAGCAATTTTAAAATAATGAAGTTAAGATCCTTGGGGGGAAAATTCTGAATTATACCCACAATGTAATACCTAGAAATACACGGTCTGCATTTCCTTTTCTTTTTTGAAATTCACAACGAAAACAGAGGAATGAATCACGCCATCCCAACACAAAGTACAAAAGCAACAAGCCATCAAATTCGATCACACAAGTTGTGTACTAGTAAATACCAAAGCTTGGTAGTTTCATTCACATTAGAGAAAATCAATGAAAATGTTTCATGCTGTCATGTCATGAATGAATTCAGGAATGCTGTAGAGTTCCTCTAATTAGTTCTCACTCACATTTTTGACACTGGTGCCCCCCATGGAACAGAACCTCAAAGAAGAGGTTACCTTACAGCTCCTTTTTCCAGAGTGGATTAGACAACAGACAATCTCAAATGTGGAGTCACATTTTAAGATTCATGGTAGTCATGAAAAAGCCCATTAATGTCCTTACTGACAATATTCAGCACATTATCTACATTAATGAACAAGATTTAGCTTCACATAACTAGCTACCAGCTACCCCAGGGCATCACTACTTTCTTGATTCTGTAAAAAGGTGCCTCCTACAAAAACCTACGACAGCACATTGTTTCCTTCCACGGGGAGCAAGTGTGACCATCAGCAACTGCTCACTTCACAGGCGTTTGGAACCTTTAAGTGAAATGCCGGTGCTATTGATCTATTTGATGTCTTACCCAAAATACCAGATTACTGTTGTCTCATCACTCAGGTCTTTGGGAAGGGGATTTATACCCCAGAGAGTGGAGCAGGAGAGCAAGAGGGAAGTGGCAGGGAGAAGGAAGAACCAAAACATGAGGCTGACGGAGTCCCCAAGTCTGACTAGAGTTTGGCTGCATCTCGTCTAGAAAACCAGAAAATGAGAAACAGGCTCAGGCGTGCTTTTGCTGGTATCCTCTTCCCTGGGACTTAGCAGTTCCCTCCCTGTGTCATCTCCCTTCCCAGAGTCTCTGTTCTTGAGTAGGGAAGCTGTCTTTCTGAAGAGCAATCGTCAACTGCAAACTTGACTGTACAAATCTTAAGGGAACTATATTCTACATCTTGTAGTAACGTATAATGAAAAAGAATATGAAAACGAATATATGTATGTATATGCATGACTGGGCCATTGTGCTGCACACCAGAAACTGACACATTGTAACGGACTACGCTTCAATTAAAAAAAAATCTTAAGTTGTGAATTCATGCCTTTCCCCTGAAGCAGCAGCCCAGGGCACTCCAAGCCAGCTCTGTTTTCGGAATTTACTGGACTCACACACAAAAGCCTTTACAGCCATAGCAACAGCTCACCGGGTAGGAATTAGAATCTATAAACCACATCACAGAACTATGCTAGGTCATCGGGCAAAGAACCACGAGATCTCACTTTCAGCTCAAAACTTTTCAAAAGCATCTCGTTTACATTGCCGCTTCACAATGACAAACTTTAACCCTTGATTTCCAAAACTGAACATTCTTTCCTTTTTAAAAAAAAAAATTTAAGTTTTCAACTTCATTTTTTGTTAATTTGCATGCTTACTTTTTTAAACAGTTTTAAAATAGATTTAATTAATTTTTTGAAGTGAGGGAGGTAATTAGGTTTATTTATTTATTTATTCATTTTAATGGAGGTACTGAGGATTGAACCCAGGACCTCTGCTCTTAGCTATACCCTTCCCTGAAACATTTTCTTAAATATTTTTCTATTTAAGTTTATAAACATATAAATGACCAACATGAACTGCGCATGTGTCACTTTCCACTCCTCTCCGGGAGGCTTTTATTTTAGCAGCCGAGCCATCGAGCCATCGTTCTGAAGTTTGCTTCGGCCGCCATCCGATCCCAGCCCTGCCACTTCCTTCCTTCAGCTGGCCTCATGCTCTTTAAGCCTCATTTCCTTTCTTTGTCAAACGGATAACAACACGTGCTGAATTGCGGGGAATTAAACTGGATAATCTCAGCACAATGTCTGCTACATAATTAATACTTAATGGTGCTAAGTAACAGCCTTATCTTCAAGCACAGGTTGAAACAAGGCATCATGAGTAAAGAGTTTGTCTGTATACGGACCTACCGTATTTTCTGTAGTGTTTTTAAAAGTTGCATGTGAATTTCTATGATATTTTATTACATAAGACCTTCAGACTTAATAAAATCCTACAGTGAATTACCACCACGTTCATCCATTCACTCAGCACTCATGGCGTGCCAGGCTCATTCTGGGTCAACAATACAGTAGGGACAGAACAAAGTCCCCATCCTCAAATAGGGGAGGGGCGTTAATAATGGACAAACAACTACATTAGGTGGAATGCTTGGGGGAGGTGCTATACTTAACAGGATTTTCAGAGAAGAGGTTCCTGATAAGGTGGCAATTGAACTGAATGCAAAAAGTGACTCCTGTGGCAGAAAAAGAAACAAACAAACAAAAAAAGACTAGGGTTAAGGATAGATGAATAGGTGGAGCACAGAAGATTTTTAGGATGATAAAACTATTCTGTATGATATTGAAAAAAAGTGACTCCTGTGAGCATCTGGCGGAAGCAGCAAGTGCAAAGGCTTTAAAGTGCTCAGATCCTTCAAGGAGAGGCGGGCGGGCCACTGTGGCCAGAATAGTGATTGAGAGGAAGAATGGGGGAGGGGGTGATGAAAGGAGGGAGAAAGGACATGGAGGAGGAAGGGGGGAAGAGAGAGACTGGGAGACAGGGAGACAAAGATGATAACGTGGAAGAGACAGCCAGGGGCCAGATCTCTGCGGCCCTGCGGGCGGCTGTAAAGACTTCAGCTTTTACTCCCAGGGAAATGCAAAGCCACTGGAAGGCTTTGAGCACACGGTGACCTGACTCCGTATTTTAAAAAGTTCTCTTGGGCTCCTCTGGGTAGAAGAAAGGGAGTCAGTGAGAAGCGTCTGGCAATAATCCATTCAAGAGATGGTCGTGGCTTGGGTGGGTGGGGGGTAGCTGTGGAGGTCGTGAGAAATAGTGAGATTCAGGATCAAGTTTGACGGTCGGGCCAGCAGCAGCTCCTGAGAAAGGAATCAAGAGCACCTGGAGTGAGTAAGTCTGCAGGAGGAACGGGTTTGGGGCACTGGAAATCAGGAACTCGACTTTGGACGTTTTGACATCTAAGGGGAGAAATCAAGAAGACCACTGGATCTGTGGGTATGTGGGCTGGGAGAGAGGTCCAAGCTGGAGACAGAAATTAGGTAGCCATCAGTAAATAAGACATTTTAGGACACAGGATGGAACTCACCGGATTCACCTAGGAGGTGAGCATAGAAAGAGAAAATTCCAATGGCTGACCCTGGGGTACGCCAGTGTTTAAGGTCTGGAGAATGAAGGGCAACCTGCCACTGAAGTTAAGAGACGTAGAAAGAGTGGGCTCTGGGAAGCCAAGGGCAGAGTGTGAGAAAAAGCGACCATGTTAAGTACTCCTGTCAGGGAGAACTGATTCACCAAGACCTGATCTGTAGATTTGTCTTTGGAAGGATCACGGGCGACCTTGGACAGCGCTGTTCAGGCAGAGGAGCAACCTTAATGGAGAGATTCCAAGGCAGAGTGGAAGGAAAGCTGGAGTAGGCAGCTCTTTCGGAGAATTCTGCTGCAAAGTGGAACACAGACATGCAGCAGTAGCTACAGGGAACTGTGGGGTCTCTCCAGGAAGTTTTTTTTTTCCCCTCTTCGTTTCTTTCTTCTTTAAAAGATGAAGCTATTTCAACATGTGAGTCTGCTGTTAGGAATGACTGGGTAAGAGGGAAGGGGGAGAATTCATGCCGCAGGAGAGAGAAGAGCCAGCCACTAAAGAAATAGCTGGAGGTCCAAGAGGGGCTGTGAATCAGACAAGCTGAAGATCGGCCTTGAATAATAAAAGGGCATATTAATGATTGAAGCTCAGCGGGCAGTGGTATAGCTCAGTGGTAGAGCATGTGCTTAGCAGGCATGGGGTCCTGGGTTCAATCCCCAGTACCTTCATTTAAAAACAAATTTTTTAAAATAAATAAATAAGCCTAATTTCCTTCTTCCTACCTCCCTCTCCAAAATAATTAAAGCTCAGCAGAGTGCCCAGTGCAGGTGTAGGCATGATAGTAGATAAGTAAGGGGAAAGTTAGATACTTCCTCCTGGTTGCTTTTTATTTTCTTATCAGTGGAGGGGGTAGAGGCGGTTAGCAGCTGAGAAAAGAGGAGAAAGTGGGAACTCCGCATCCAGGAGAGACAGAGAGCAAGTCGTGTAGAAGGAATGCTGGACCCCACCACTGGTCCAGCTGAAGTTGTGAATTTCAAGTGAGAGCCGTCAGCCTCACTGTGCACTTTCCTGCAGCCCTGCAGATCGGCCTGGGTGCTGACAAGGGGCAGGTGAAGAACACATATACATCCTCCTCCCGGGCTGGCACTGTAGCTGTTGAATACATGCACATGTGCAGGCATCCAGTTTACTTTAAAAGGTTACATTTAAACAAACTTATGGTTACCGGCGGGAAAGGAGGTGGGAAGGGATAAACTGGGAGTTTGAGGTTTGCAAATATTAACTACTATACATAAAATAGATTTAAAAACCACACAAGTTTCTTCTGTACAGCACAGGAACTATACTAAATATCCTGTAGTAACCTATACTGAAAAAGAATATGAGAAGGTAAGTATGTTATGTATACATATAACTGAAACGTTATGCTGTATACCAGAAATTGACACATTGTAACTGACTATACTTCAATTAAAAGAAAAGTTACATTTACTATTATAGGACCTGACCTATACAGCCACCTGGGAAGCATCTAATTTCTCAGGAAAATCAAACAAACATAACCCTCTGAAAGACACAGATCTCCTCTATAAATAGTAAATCCTTTTCTGAAAAATATGTCATCAACGGTGCACAAAGTGTGTCTAGAGGTAGAACAAAATTAAAGCCTGTGATGATTTTAAGAGGTGAGCAAGACAGGTAAAAACCAGGAGAGCTGAGAGCAGACCAAAATGCTAAAAAGGGCTTTAAGAACGTTCTGGCCCCACCCCTCAACTTTAACAAATGAGTCCACTAAAACCCAGCGTTAACTCTGGGAGGGAGAGAGATTACGCGGTGGCTTTATTTGGGTTAGGATTAGCTGTGGCTCATTTGCTCAAGGGTGTTCTTCCGATGCTGCATTCAAAAGGGCTGACCTAAACACTGTAACTATGGAAACATCCTGTCTTTCAGGTTCTCCAGCTGGGAAGCAG